GGGGGAAAGAGGATTGCCACCCACAAGGGCAGAGTTCCATCTCCCACCTTGGATCTGGGAATCGGAAGAATGCTATGGACCTCCTACAGGTACTGTTTGGGCCATACAGGACCACCTTCTGAAAAATCCAAATAGAGATGCTGTTTCTCTTGCCAGTGTCCCATCATCTGTCTCATTCTCCTCCTAACCTTCAAATCCTTTCCAAATGGTCCCCAACCTGGTTCCTTCCATTACCGGACTACAACTCCCATCTTCCCACAGCTAGCATGGCCAATGGATAGGCATGATGAGAACTGCAGTCCAAGCCATTTGACTGAGATGGGGGAGGCTGCTCTATTCTATGGCATTTATATGTTCCCTGGCTGTGGAATCTCTCTCCAGAAACTCCCCTGTATTTTGGTCTCTTGATCCCTGGACGAAAAGCACGTGCGGCTTTGCAGGCTCAGAAGGGTGTCCCACAGAGAGCCTGATTTACACAGGCCTTTTGCTCTCCCAGGGGCTGCAGGTATCTCTAACCCCCGCTTTGCAACCCCTACCCAACTGGTTTCCACGCAGTTGCAAGGAAGGAGTAGCATCTGGGGAAAAGACAGTGTACTATTTCCTGAAGAAACGGCAGAGGTAAAAGAGAGGAGGAGCTGAGAGCGCCACCCCGTCCAGCAGTTTCTTCCTAGTCACGGTGCTGGAAGGGCTTGCTTGCGAGCAAGGGCGAGCCCTCTGGCACAGGCGGGATATTCCCCCAGTCCCCTGCACAGCAAGCACGCCATCCGGTGTTCCCACTACCAGCAAAGTGCCGTGCAACTGGGTACACACTGCAGCGAGGTCCCGTGAGTCAACACACACACACACGCACACAATCAAACAACGCGGCCTTCCCTTCACTGCACAGGAAAGCTTCTCAGTGGAATGGACTGTAATGCAGAGAGAACCGGTCCTAGGAAAGGACCCTGCCTGACAGAGCGGGCGACTGGATGTACTTCCCTCCGGCTAATACAGGGCGGGAGTGGATCGCCCCGTCCCATGGCTTCCAACCTCCGCAGGTGGGCCATAGGGCTGGGTTTAGCCCCACTGGGCACAGCCAGTGCGTCAGTGCTTCGGCCTTTGCAAGGCCACGGAGCTTCCGGCCCCTCGCATGCCCTTCCTAAGTTTGCATCGGCAGCTCCGCAGCGGTTCCTCCTGCCTCGGCATCCTGAGCAGCTGCGAGCGAATGAGCGAGCGAGCGAGCAAATGTCCACCGGGTGCTTGGATCCAGCCGTCTCCTACGGCACCTGCACCCCAGAAAGCCGCCCGCTGCCGGGCGCAGTCACACATCCGAAGTTCGGATGCTCTTGTCATCCAGGTCGTAGGGGAAAGGGTGTTCTTTAAAGTTCTGGGGCTCCGACTTGTGCCGCAGACGCCTGTCCTGCGAGGCTCCCCTGCCGCCCTTGGAAAACAGAGCGGCAAACTCCGAGTCCTTCAGCGGACCGGCCTGCTCCTCGGCCGCGGGCGGCGGCTTCCCTCCTGGCTGCGGCACTGGCTCCCAGGGCAGCCAGCCGGAGGTCGAGGGCCCTTTGCCGGCCACCTTGGGCTCGTCTCCGAGCTGCCTCAGCCTCATGGCAGTGGGCGCGGCCGAGCCGGGCGAGGCTGTCCCTGCCTGCTTGCTCAGCGACATGGAGCGCAGCAGCGAATCCTGTTGTGGGGAGCAGAGGGGAAAGGAGAGAGAAAAATCAGTGGCACGGATAAAACTGCCCCGGAATAGCCATTTATCGCAAGAAAGCCGTCTGGCGTCAACTGTCCCGCTGCTGGCTTTGCCTCGATGGATGAGGCAGAAGGAGAACTCGTCATAAATGCACAGAAGAGGAATTTCATGTGGACTTTTGTGTTTGTTTCCATGGTGACCATAACCACCACTGCACAGAAATGGTGCTAGCACTGAGCACAGCATTCTTTTTTTAAAACAAAGTTTCTAGCCCTCATCATGGCAAAAGGATCCTCATAGCTATGCAAACAATTGCTGGTCCATTTCAGAAAATAACAGTTTGACCAAGTGAAATATTAGGTGTTTGGGGCAGATCAAGCTCCTGCACATGTGCACACACAAATGCACACACTCACCCTTAGTAGAAACAATTACACCTACTGAACATATAATACAAAAACTCCAGAATAATTTCTGCAAAATTCTGCAAGCAGTCCCAAAGCTGTATCCATTGTGCCACTCGCAGAATTCTGCCTTGTTTGGTGCAGAATCTGGATATGGTTCTCTATAAGAACAATTTGATACAGTCAACCCAACTTGGATGTGGCAAAAGCTTTCCTATGGTTGAACTTTCTTACGAACAACCCACCAGGAAGCCAGAATTTCTTGCAAGAGTTAAATCAAACTCCTTTTGACTATAGTTAAACACGGATCTGACTTTTTGAGGACTGCAATCAGATGCATATGATGGGCACGACATTGCAGACGGCTGACACGCAAATCCCACCTGCATTTAAAGCCCAAACAGAGCAGAAGGCTGATTCGCATCTTCTGTTTTGTTTTTCCTTTATCCGGTTTATCACAAAATGGCTCTTCTAGGCAATTGTGGCACAGTGAAAGTCTTCTTTCAGATATGGAAAGAGCTGTGATTGGTTCACCATGTCTTTGGAAAACAGGGCCAGGTGGGTTGAAGCCATTCATTGCAGGAATCTCGTTAGAAGCCTCTCCAGTCCCCCAACGCCTGCCAGAAATGCCCGTCCCCGCGGACGTTGCCAGGGGCCAGCTCTCAAGCAACTGCTGCAGAGCAGGAGAACCTGGGCACTGCACGGCCGCGATCGAGGCCGAAATGGAAGGGTGCTGCTTCTCTGAACGCAGCCATCGCTACTCCCTGCTCTGCCTCGTTCATAGCAAGTCACTGTAGTATTTTCACCACTTCAAGAGCCAAATTTGGCCAGAACAGAAAGGGAACCGGGGTGAATTGAGTGTGGTCGCTAGTACAGGGTGTAAGAAACATTGTCCGTCTACTCTAAGCAATTGCTCACGCTAGCTGGAGATAATGTGAAGCTCAGTTTAATGCAACTGAAGGGCTCCAGGTTGGAGAAGGCAGATGAAAGTTTAACACTTCTGAGACCCCGAAAGCATATTTAAGGCCAGGCTCTCCATCTCCATGGAGCTTTGCCAAGCCACTGGCTTAAAGCTGCGGTGAAGTGCGGACAGTTATATGGCCCCGTCTCACCACGCTTGACATGTTCCCCACTCTTCCCTCTGCCCATTTCCCGTCCTGCGTTGGAGGAATCCAGAGCCCGGAAAGCCACCTCCTGGAAATGAGCAATTCCTGACAAGCCACTGACACAGACGAAGTTTGCTTAAGAAAACAAACAGGCGCACTTAAAGGACTGGATGCTCCATGCAAAGCAGAAAGCACACGGCCTACCCGGGAGCAGCTCTTGAGGGCCTGCACAGCACCCGTGATGGCTTTGATCCAGCTATGCATGTCCTCCGGGCTGTAGGCCTGCAGGGACGGAAAAAAGACACCGGTCAGAAACGCCCTCGCTCGTCCCTCCACGCCCCCCTCAGTGGGATTCACACAGCGCCTGCACCCAGAAGGTGCCCCGAGCACACTTTCCCCGCTCCAAGACGGTCTGGTGCAGGACTGGTTCCAGCATCTCTGCAGGCGTGTCCCGAGAAGACCCGAGGGCTGATCCTGAGTCAGGCAGGAGAGGGGAGGCAAGGCGAGGAGGGTGCCAAGGCTGTGGCAGCAGGAGGGCGGCGAGAAAGAGCAGAGGCACAGAAAGGGAAGCCCGGCAGTTGGCTGGTCGTTCGAAAGGGCTTCTGAGCTTGCAAGAGCCGGGCCTTGAAAGAAGCTGAGAGGGCATCAGGCGCGGGGGGGGGGGCACACAGCGTTAGAAGGTGCCCAGGGGAGCTGCAGCCAGGGCAGTGACCCTGTGGAAAGACTCACCTTGAGGGAGGGGCTTGGTACCCCACCCAGCCTGAGAAGGGCAGCGTGCTGCAGATGGCACTGGCGCTGGGACCTCTCCCTTTCCTGACCCCCAGTGCTTCCACGATGTTCTGCAAAGCCTGCCTAGAACGTCTTACCCTTCGGGATGCGAGGGGGCACTGTGCGTACCCTGAAGCGACGCTTGCTTGGTGGTGTCGTTTGCACAGTAAAGGCAATTGACTGGAAGGACCCTTGCCCGATGGGCACAAAGGGTGTGGGGCTGAGCCCAGGGCACTAATCCAGCTCGGAACTGCCTGGCAGCATGCCCACCGGGTCTTGCATGCCCTGCCACAACACCAGGTGGAGGCCCAGGGCCCTGAGACCCGGAGGCACCCAAGGGGTCCATGACAAGCACAGCAGCCACCCCAACCTCCAAGACAGGAAGAACAGCCGGCAGCCCTGCTTCTCCCCGGAGTTTAAAAGGGGGACCGACGGGACAGTGATGGTGAAGCGAGACCAGCCAGCCCAGGGCTCCTGGAACCTTCCCAGAAAGTGCGGTTTTCTGGATTTGCTTTCTGTTCCTTGCCTTTCTTGGAGTGATATTTTCACTGTGGAGCGCATTGTCCTTTTAGGGCACTCTGCTAAGTCAGTGGGTAGCAAAGGTTTGGGTCTGTGTGTGTGTGTGTGTGTGTGTATGTGTGTGCGCATGTGTGTCTTTCATATCCTACATTAGGCTACCGAAAGAACCCTTGACTGAATATCATAGGTGCAAAGCTTGATTTTGCTCTCTTTGCTTGAGAACGGCATGTTTCTACCCAGTATGGATAAAAGTTATGCTATCAGGTTTTTTGCATCTTATTCATCTTCACCGGCTTGCTTTTTTTACTGCTGCCAAGCAAACTTCCACCAGGGGGCAAAGCTGAGGCGGTGGAGGTGATTTTTAACAGCTTTGCAAAAGCACAGCTTCTCCCCCACCCCGGCAAAGAACCCCAGGACTGTTTTGTTAAATATGGCCTTTTGAGAACGGATCTGGCCTGAAAGCTGCAAAGCCACGGGCAGATGCCACTGAAGCCAACCGTGTGCCCACGCCTGAACCAGGAGGGCCCCGGCAAGCCGCCGAAGGGAACATTCTCGTCACTCCGACAGATGCTCACAGCAAGGGGCAAAAAACCCACTGTGTCAGGGAGGTCAAAGCTCTTGCTTTTGGATTCCGTCAGTTCCCATTTTTCCAATTTGTAGTCCAGATCATGTTAATCTTTGATAATTTTTTCCAGTCCTACAACTTGCTCACACTTTAGAGATTTTGTTAAAGTGTTCGTGAAAAATTGCATGCCTCTGGGTGGACGTTTGCCCTGAGGGGGCCTTTCTGCATGCGCAAGTCAGAGACCAAGCTAGCCCTGTAGACAGCAGCCACACGAGGGAGGGAGGGAGGAACGACTCGGACGAACCTCCTTGCTCTTCCTTGGCAGAAAGAACCACCGCAAGAGCTTGGAAACTAGTGGCGGAGTTTGTTTTTTTCCCTCAACCCTCCCAATCCTTTTTCCTTTTGTGCTATGCCTTTCAGACTGGAAGCTGAGGGTCAGGACTGTGTGAGTAGGAATCTTCCTAGCTATTTTGGGGTGCACAGCAAGATTACAATCCTGTTCACAAACTCAGCAGACAACATGTGCCCGCTCCAGCTGAGCCCTGCTCCCCCACACCCGGCCCCGATGCAGTGAAGTGACACTCCCGTGCCCACCGCTCAGTCCTGGAGCAAATGAACAAGACACAACCGAGCAGCGCACAAGACAGCAGTGCGGTTGGCAAGCAGCAAGAAGAACCTCTAAGCTCTTCTGCTCTTCCCAGATTTGATGGCCCCAGGGAGGGGCTTGGGCAAAGGCCAAACTAGCGAAAAGCAGCCCCTCCCCATCCCATCATTGTGCCTTGGCATGATTAGGGGCTGCCAGGTGCGAGGCGACCTGCTACAGCGAGGGTCTCCAGGGCGGTGCTCGCGGGGTCTTCTAAGCACCTGCACCACTCTGCGCCCCCCCTTCAAAAATGTGTGTTTAATCTTAAAAAGCCACCTCAGCAACTTTCTCCGGAACTTGCTGCAGATCCAGATCTTCCTCCCCCACAGACCGTCTCTCCTCGCTCTTTCTCGCAGCTCCCCATTCCCAGCTTCTAGCCCGGCTCTTTCTCTCCAGAACCGCTTTGCCTTGTGGAGGATCTCACAGGAGCTCCCCTGGGGGGTGCTGGGGGGGTGATGTCGGGACCACTGTGCTAAAACACTAGTCGCTGCTGGACTGGCCAACTTCGGCACCCCTGGGGGCCACCAGGGGTCTAGTCAGCCTCTCTGCTTTTACGCAGATCCACCCTTAAAGCTGGCCGAGACATAATTTGATCTAAATAAAGCGCAAACAGACTAAAAGACTGGCGGTGATACACGTGAGACCTTATCTTAGGGACTGTCTAAAGGCTTCTGGCCACACACCCTCCCCCAAAACCACCTCCAGCAAGACCTTCTTCCGGGTCAGAAGGCGTGCGAATCAGCAGCAGCGCAACCCGGGCGTCCCGTGACGCTCAGGGCTCGAATGACAGCCCTGGGTCCCTCTTCACTTACGCCCCAGTAGGACCTGGGGACATGCCAGGAGCCCTGCAGGATCAGGCCAGCCTGCTGTTCCTGCAGTGGTGAACTAGACCTTCACCGGAGGCCCCCAGAGAAGACAGCAGCACCATCCCGCACCTGTTCCCAAAAGGCAGTGTGGTGTAGTGGTTAGGGGTGCAGGACAGAGACTCAGGAGACTCTGGGTTTTAGCCCTGGAGCTGACAAGTGTCCTTTCACTCCTGCAGATAATCTCTGTCCTTCTAACAAATTACAGATACAAGCGTGTGAAAGCCTGGATTTGAAATCCAAATCCCAGATGGAGTGCTGGAAAGGCATTCCACGTGAACTGCTTGGCTGCAAACCCACCAAGACCAGCATTAACTGCCGAGAGCTAAAGGCACATTTTATGGCAGAGAAAAATGGGGATTTTCGGGTGAACTGTGCAGCACATCTTTAGCTTGCTTCCTCCCAATATGTCTGCTTCCTTCTCTAATTCGGCAACCCCCAGATGTGGTCGGCTGCAGCTGCTACCAGGCCCAGCCAACACTGCATCGCTGCCCTCCTCTACCTCTGGCCCAGAGAATGCTGCTGGTGGGGATGATGGGAGTTGCAACCCAGCAGTTCTGGAGGGTGCCAAGTGGGAGAAGGTGCCCTAGCACTTACAACGGCCACGGGAAGCACCTGCGTCTCTCCCACGGTCCCGTCCTTTTGCACCTGTACAAACAGCATCACTGTAAATACGCCGGAATGGAGAAGTGAGGCTGCGGCCAAGCAGGCTCCGTGATGCGTAGGCCCCCCGGGGCCAAACTCGCTCGGTCCGTCACCCTTTCTGCTTGAAGGCATCCTGTTTGGCAGGCCGAGGCCAGCATTAACGGCCGAGAGCTAAATTTGCGGCAGAGGAAAGTGACCTCCAAAACAAACACAGCCCGTCCCGCGAGAAACCAATTTCCAAATGATGTAACAGCGACCGGTGACTCGAGGTCTTCCACGCTGCTGGTGGCTGAGTGTTCTGCCTTCGCAAGGCCCTTTGCACCGGGCCGCCAAGGATTCAAGCCCGTTGCGTTCCATTCTTGGGGAACAGGAGTGGATATCCAGAAGGGGCCCAGCTAGACGGGGGGCCCAGAATCAAGTCCGGCGCCCACACCGCAGCCGAGGGGCGCCGGACTCAATTCTTCTCTTCCTCACAGCAAGCAGCCTCGTTGCCCGCCCCTCCTCTGGGCCAGACAATGCCAGCAGTGAGAAGCCACAGTGGGAGATGCCCGGCTCCCTCGCTCCTGGGCGGTCCACCTGTCCAGCGAGCAAGTGGAAGCGACAAGGAAAAGTGGGGGCAAAAGCCAGGCAGCTGGGACAGTGGTGCTGAAAAGGCAGATCTCCAGGGGAAAGCGGGGAGAGGGGTTTTCAAGAGACGCTTGGGGTCCCGGTTGCTCGTTCAAGCGCCACCTGCTGCCTGCCCACAACCAGCCTCCTATGCGCACACCCCAAACTCCCCAAAACATGGTTGGAGAACCCATGCAGGTGTTTTACCTGGATATAGAAGGTCCTGTTGTTGGTGATGATTTCAAAGAGGTTGTCACGTGTTAGAAGGTCACTAGAAAGGCAGAAAGGCGGGTTAATTAGGAATTTCTGGTCCATACGCAGAACCTATCTGCTTCTTGATTCCAGTAAATGTACAAGAGAGATTAAAGCACTGATCCTAAGTAGAGGATTTATAGTAGACTTACCCAGCCTTCTTAATTATCTTTTATTTTAACTTTCAACAAAAGGACACCGTAAAGAGAAGAAAGCAAGCTGCAACTATGTAGACAGCACGTCTTCATAATTTTCCACAAAGGCAGACCAAGGGTCCATGATCAAGTATCCATTCGAACACAAAATTAATTGGCAGCACAGGAACTGCACCCCAAAGACAGGCCAAGACAGGTGCTATGGTGTGTCACGATTGCATTTTCCTCCTTAACAGATTAGCTAAAGTAAGCAAAAGGATGGAAAAAGCAGAGGACCAACCAAGTCAACGGCCTGAGCCCTCCCCGGGCGGTAAATAAAGTCCAATGCGCCAGTTGTGCGTCTTTGGCACATCCTTCTCTAGATGCCCCTTGGAGGACTACACCCGCAGCAGCTACTTTTGGCAAAAGGAAAAACAGAAAAAGAAAACCTAAAAGTTTAGCCCACTGCTATCCCATTATGAGGAACTGGACTAGAGAAACTCAAAGACACTTTTGTGCCAGGCAAGACGGGGACTCAAAAGCATCCCCAAATTTTCCTTTAGCCGTGGTAAGTCCTGGACAGTATCTCTCAGAAGATTATTGTTTGGTACATTTAAAAACTTTCTTTTCCTAGGGAATATTGGGCGAAATGCCTCCCTTCCTCCCTTTTGGATGTCCAGAAACAGCACGGAGAATTTGAAGCCACCGTTTCTTTTGTTTGACTCTCTAGGGAAATGCTAATATGAAAAAAGCTAGTCTCAAATACGTGGGCGGGTGTATCAGTACCACAGATAACGTCACCCAAAGGGAAAAGTCATACCCAGATTTGACTAAACATTCATGGGTCTTCTGCACATCCTTCAAGAGAATTGACCGCAAAGGCTCCTTATCCTAAGAAGAGAAACCGGACAAATGCAGCGGTGAGCAGCCACAGGAAAGACCGATCAGATATCACTGGGCTCCAAGGACTGCTCAGAATAAGCACATGATATCACTCTGTGCACTATTTAGTTCTTATTTATTTTATTTTATGGAGTTGGCTGGGACTAGCAAGCTTCCAGACTGCGCAGGAATCTTCTTACCCACAAGCCCGACGAGAAGAAACATCCCTTGCAAATCAGACATTTGCTACCCTACCAAACAAGGAAGCCACTCGATGCCGTTCCATTTGTCCTCCACGATTACGCAGACGGTTCTTACAAATGGGCAATTATGCTTATAATGCTTGACTCCCTCATACGGGCATCACTACGATTTGGAGCCTTAGTCAAGGACTTGGGCAAGATGCGAGATCTCCATTGTGCGGACGACATCCCAGCCAGGAGACCCGCTCGGGCCCGTCTGCAAGCTTCACCACCTGGAGGAAACCCCATCGCCTTCGGCTGGCAGAGGGGCTGCACGCCGAGCAATCCTGGACTGCTAAGGCACTCCAGAGCAAGCAGTCCAAGAACAAAGCTCTCGGCATCACTGTCGCTTCCTGAAGTCCACGTCCAGGCGCAGGCCAAATGGGTGCTCCCAGGCTGCTCGGATTGGGATGGTGGCCAGTGCACAAGGGGGGGCTCTTTCCCCATGCAGAGCAAAAGCCCCCCCATCCCCCTCTCTGCACAGAGAAATGTCAAATGGGCTGGGCGGGTAAGACTGGGCAGGGGGTTTCTTGGTATAGTTCTACCCAGTGACATCAAATAGAGCACCTGAGGCGATTTCAGCCCCGGGTCTACATAATCCCCCCCCCCCATCCCTGCTTTTCACATACCTGGACTGCCTGATCCAAAGCTCTGTGCATGAGGTGAATTGCGACCCACTTGACAGCCGGCATTAAGGAACTCTGAGCGGTGCATTCTGACCTTCGTATTGCCCATCTGCCCAAATCCTAGGGCAACCCCATGGAATCCGTGCTTTTGCTTTGCTTAACAGCAAGTGGGGCATTTGCTCCAAAGGGGCGCGATCCGCTCCACAGGAGGAAACGCCCGTTTGGCGGGGTGCGGCGTGACTGCTTACCTGCTCACACTTGAAGTAACTGATGGAAAAGTCATCCAGAACAAAGTACCGGCGTTTCCAGCTCTTTCTCTGAAAGGCAGCAACAAGTCTTTCTGAGGCGGATATGCCCCTGCACTCTTCTCATGCCCCCTCAATGCTCCACAGAACACGAGACACAATTAGTCCCAGAACACAATTAATCTATGCAATCCACTGCCTCAAGGTTTTGAAGAGCTGGAGAGCTCCAGGGACAAAGGCCCTTGACACACGGTCATAAAAGGGAACCTCCAGGTGAAGATACTCCTGGGCTCCTTGATACTCAAGAGAGCACAATGGAGCGGCATGGGCAGCGAGACATTTTCTTCCCACTTTCATAATAGGGCTCAACAGTTTGGAGCCAGGATACTTGAAGGATTGCTTGCTCCTATATGTGCCCCCCTGACCCCCAAGATCGGCGTTGGAGGCCCCTCTGACGGTGCCCTCCTGCAAGGAGGTGAGGAGGAAGGCAGACAGAAGCAGGGCCTTCTCGGCAGGTACACCCCATTTATGGAACAGCTTCCCAACAGCAGCTCACCCGGCGCCTTCTTTACAGTCTTTCTGGCACCAGGCAAAAACAAGTTTATTCTCCAGATAGTTTAATAATTGATTTTAATTCTGTATACTTTATTAATGTTGAAATTGGAATTAAATGTTGGCATGTTTTGGATTTTAGCTTGTACTGCTTTTCACTCTTAGGGTAAACTCTCAGCTGTACACTGTACACTGTACCATATATTTTGCATGTTACTTACATCTTGTTGTGCTTTGCGTCTACAATGGTGGTTAGTTTTGCTTGTTACATTGTGCATATTGTTTTGCTTGTCAATTTTATTCTTTGGTTTTTATGGGTTTTGTAAATCTGCTTAGAAAGTCCTGCTGGACTATTGGTTAAGCGGATTATAAATTCAATTATAAATAAATAAAATAAAGCACCCTGCAGGGTCTTCTCATGAAGGGGATGGGTGGGAGAGTCAGGCCTGGCAGTTCAGGGGCCAGGCTGGAACTTGGGTGATCCGGGTTCCAGTCCCCACTCAGCCTTGGCGCTCCGGGGTGCCTTGGGGCTGGTCACTGACGCCCAGCCTAACCTACCTCACAGGGTTGTTGTGATGATAAAACAAAGAGGAGGAGGATTGGGGAAGCTAGAAAAAAGGGAGGGGGATGTACAGAAATACTGTTCTGCTATCAGAGGGCACGTGCTGCTGAGGACTGCCCGTGGTTCCACCCCTCCCAGTTGCTGAGGGCAGCAGTTCAGGGCCGAGGCACTCCGGACCCGCTGGTGGGGTCCCCCAGGCGTCTCGAGGCCCACAGCGGGAACCCAGGCAGGCCTTTGGACGGCTCTCCCTTGCTCTTGCCCAGCGTGGACGCGGGAGGCCCCGGGGCCCTGGACGGCCGGCCCAGACACGCCTTGCAACCCAACAGCTCCTTTCATCAGGGCCTGCTCTGTGCATTATTTACTTGTATATTTATTTGAAGTTTTTCTATACCATCCGCGACTGAGGGCTCGCGACAGTCTTGTGCACAGCATCCAAATTGATTTGCTATACCATGAAACCCCACATTAAAATCAGGCTCAAACTTTAAAATAATGGGAAAGTAGAAAGGGTTTAGCCAGGTGCCGCAAGAAATACAGTGCCGGCACCAGGCAAACCTCTCTGGGGAGCGAGTTCCAGAACTGGGGTGCCACTGCAGAGAAGGCCCTCCTCTGGCAGCCACCCTCCTGCTCTCCTCCGAGGAGGGCTCCCGAAGGAGGACCTCCGACCCAGACCTCAAGGGGCGGGCAGGCGCAGAGGGAAGGGGGCGCTCCCTCAGGAACCCAGGCCCAGCGTGAGACAGAGTGCAGGGGATGGAAGGGGCAGCTAGGCCTGCCGTTCCTTCCAGGGTCCGGGTGGCACCAACAATTCGGACGAGGACTGTGATGGCTGGGAATCGGGGTGGTGGGAATCGAGGCGGAGAAGGAGGGGGAGGTTCCTTCGAGGCAAAACCTTGGGCATCACGCTCGTTTTACTCCCAGGCAGAGAGAAGCAGCATTCCTGTGTTCTGGGATGCCCCCGATCCCTCGAATGGAAGGCCACCACGGCCCCCTCCCCGCTCAGCCGGCTCCTTTGAGCCTCACCGGCAACCGGAGGACTCAGGCCGGCAGCCGAGGGGCACGCCAACAACGCGCCCGAGGGGCTCCTACCACGTTTCCTTGCTTCACGCAGTAGCCGCTCTTGAGGACCGGAGGCCCCGCCGGCGCCCTGGTGCTCGGGATGTAGCTCTGGGAGCGCCTGAGCAGAGGATGGGCGGCTACGTCGCCGCCTTCGCAGCCAGAGCCATCGCCGCCGTTCTACGAGGCAAAGAGAGAGGCGAACGCGGGAATACAGCAGTCCGGGCACCACCGGGAGGGGAGCCGAGAGACAGGGCAGCAAAAAGGTGGGGGCAAGCCCCTGGCTTGCAAGCAAAATGGGAACTGTAGTCCAACACATCTGCAGAGCACCAGGTCGGGGAAGGGTGCAGCATAGCCCTGCATGTATCCATTTATTTAAAATCCTTCTTCCCAGTTGCGTGGGAACTTTTTTCCAGGTAAATATTTTTGTATTACCGTTATTCAGAAAGCAGAATCCTTCCTACACGAAAGGGTGTTAGACTGCTAAAACTCTATAAAGCTATAAAATAATACACATATTTTTAACCATTTCTAGTCACCAGGTTAGTAAGGAGGTGAGTTGTTTAAAAATATTTTTAAATTGATGCTATACTGCTGTATTCACAAGAATGCCGGTGTGTTCCAGAAATCATAAAATGATGATTCCTGGGTGCCTGTGGCACAGAAGCGCCATCATACTAATCCAGATGTTTAAATAAAGGTGGCTTAACTTCATATATGCCACAATTAACACCTTGGTAGTTATACGGGACACAAAACCCTTCCTTTCACCATCGTGCCGAAACCCTATTGTTTGTGTAACTACAGCTTATTCCTTCCACCCACAAGGGGGTGAAGAGAGCACAGAATGTGGAGCCACTTGCAGTACTGCCGGGGGATCATTACTAACTTTTTAAAATTAAAGCCAAGTTTCTAGCCCTCATTACTGCAAAACTATGCTTAAATGTATATGGGTAAAGCTTCCTGAAATTGCAGTGGCTGAAGATTTTTGGTGATCTGAGAAGGAGGTGCCCATGCACTGCTTTGCTCCTTAGCTCAATTAGAAAACCAGAATGAATTGTGCAAAGTAAGGGAAAATGCGCAATTACACATAATGCATCCAAGTAGAATGATTAAGTGCCTCTTGCCAAGGAATTATATGGCATGCCAGAATGTTTGTGCCAAGAAAACAGCAACTCTGGTAGAGGTTGTAACAGAAAACACTAAAGGTAGGGTAGGAAGGAAAGTAAATGAGTGTGGAAAAGGTTGTGGGGAAAGTTACCAGAAAAGGACACTTGCAGCCGAAGATCGAGGGGCAGAGCAGCAGAGCAAAAACGGGCATGGAAAGCGAGCCCGTGCGGTCTCCTCCCGCCAAAGGGAGACGGAAAGAGGCAAACCGTTGAACAGGCTCCGCTTCCAACCAGAAGAGAACGGCCCCAAAGGCTTGGCTTGGCAGAGGAGCGGGCTGGGCTTTCCTGCGGCATAAATTACACAGGCGAGTGCCCACTCCTTGCTTTGCGGTAATTGCAGCTCCCCGGCGACACTGGGGGAAGAGCAGACCCCACCGTGCGCCCCCATCTGGGGCAGCGGGAGAAGCTGGGGGGAAACAGGGTGCGTCACAACACGCAAATGCACGGAGAGGGAGGGCCTGGCACAGACTGGACAGGAATCAAGTCTCCAAGGCACAGGGGCTCGGAGGCAGGGGAAAGCTCTGCCGGGAAGCCGTCCGGCGCTGCAGTGCCCGAGCGCCAGGCCTGCAGACTGACGGCACAAAGCAACGCAAGTTTAGAAAAGGGCCGTGAGAGGGACCGCTGCTGAACACCGAGAGCGGCTGCCGTGTGCATGTCTGCGGATATATATTCTAAAGATATCCTTCACCCTCCTGGGTCAGGCTGGCTCCAGGCGCAAGGGGGGCCCTGGGCAACCTGGCAGACACTCCAGGTGGCCTTGTCGGCCACAGCTGGGGATGGCGAGCCTCCTCCAAGCTTGCTCTGGCACTTGTATCGGACTGCCAATTTAGGGGGATTTTTTTCCTTTTCATATGTATCCATGTGCATTTCCCCACATTTTTCCCATGTGTGTTTTTCCCCAAACTGTGCAAATGTGCCATTTTCCCTTTTGTTGTTCCACATCTTGCACTGTAGGCTCAGAAAGGTAGACTTGGAGAGCAGGAATGCCTGGACCTTGACTGCAAATCCCATTATCCTCCCTTGGCTAGGATTTGATGGGAGCTGCAGTCCCTTGATATCTGCAGGGCCATCCATTCCCCCTTCTAAAGTCTTCCTTTGTGGTGTATTGTTTATTATTTGCTGAAATAATGCATTCCTTCTACAGCCTCCAGGACTTAGGAATAATGCCAGCTGCATCCCAACCTGTCCGGAGGGCTCTAGGCTGTGGAAGGCTGTTCTACTCATGTGCAGGCAAGTTTCAGCTAAGCAGGTGGACTGGGAATAACTATGGAGACTAGGCAGCATCCCAGCTGCCCGTCCTCAGCAAAGTGGGGCATGGCATCAAAAGCGAAAGCGAGTGAGTGGGTGAAGCCAAGCCATTTAATTAAACACTGTGGAGCCCAGTGCTCCAATTAAGGTCAGCTCACAGAAGACACACAAAGACAGGGAGCCTTCCCCTTGCAGCTGAAGCCCTTCACACCAAGCGTCTTGCTTGCTGCTGCTTTCATTTCCTACCCCGTCCTATCCTGAGGGCTCAGGGCGGATTAAGAGCACTGGAACCACGGCCCAATGAAACCAGTAATTATGTCGTTAGGATATCATACCAAGAGCTGGCCGTCATATTCAGCAAAAGCACACAGTCTTGGGAATGAACCACTTCAGAAGTTGTGGTAGGGAGAAAAATGCAAGTTTGAGGACTTCTGTTTAAAATTTCCCCCCAGAGAAAGGTTGGTGTTTTCTACCAGAGGCATCAGCGGTCCAAGAGCAAAAGGTTCTTGACGCTGGAGAGGACCAAAGGAACATCCAAAGGACCACTGCTGCCCGTGACACTGGCACTTTGGGCAAATCAAGGGCTCTGGAGGTCAGCCTCTGCCGGACCCAGCCGTCTTCTTGGCACAACATCGAACTGGAGTTGTGCCAATGTACACTTTTGGGAAGGCATAAACCTGAAGTCCATGAGTCTGTCCGCATGATCAATTAGCCCACCACGGTTTATTTAAGCCACAGTGGGCTTCAGAGCAGGTAGTGGCCATTCTGAATACTGGCCCCAGCTTGTGCCCTGCAAAGCCCGGGGGCACCACGAAATTCATTGTCTGTCGTCAGTTTATGCAAGGGTTGCTTCACCCTTGTCTAACCCACAGTACCTCTATCTGCACAACACAAGCCATGGCAAGGCACTGAATATGCAAATAGCATCCTACAAACCCTGCAACACATCATGGCCTAAACAACCCACAGTGGATGGTCTTGATCATGCAGACCAGGCCAGAGACAATCGACAAAGCAGGTCAAAACATCCTTAGGACAGACAGGGGATCTTTTTCCGGGGCATAGGAAAATTCCGATTTTTGATAGCGATTGGACTTGGAAGGTCATCTCTTAATGCCACAGGTTGGGTGGACTTCCCCAGATGAACTGCGCTTTCTGTCTTTCCGATGCTGTTCAGAGTTTGCCCTTGGTGTGGATCTTTAGGAAGACACAACGGCACCATCTGTACACAGCAGAGAGAGACCAGCAGACTCCAGGAAACTTCAAGGACTGAGGGTGTAAAAATATTCTTTGTAGGAGAAAGCCCACGGGGGCACCTGCTCCCTCCAGCAGCCTAAGGAGGCCCGAACAGGCTCCGTGAGCAGGGAGTGCCGGCTGACAGTCCAAAGGGATCCGTAAAGCTTCAGCACAGGGGAAGAAAGCTCTTCACACAGGGCAGGGATGAACGGTGCGGTCCCCAACCGCAGCACAGCCTTTCGGCTTTTTAACTAGGCATGTTCAGAGCCGACCTTGGAAACCTGGGCAAGCCATTCGCCACGGCTGGCTGGCTGGCTGGAACTGTGAACACCTGACTGCCCCATTTATTTGGGGGTTTTTAAAATTTATTTTCAGCACGATCAGCTGATCTTCAAATCACGGCTTTCCCTCCCTTTTGCTCCCCAAGCCTCTTTGCAGCCCTTCTAAAACGTGCGTCACCAGCGGCACACTTTTCCCTCCTGCATTCCTGAGGCCTGACGGGCCAGATGCGCCGGCAGAGGGAGCGGCGCAGCCCTGCCTCGGATCCTGTGACGCCCCAGGGCTGGGCAGCTCGGCCGTGGTGTTTCGGCTGTGCCTTTATTTTTGCCAGGTTGTAGCCCAGGCTGCCCCAACAGCTGGAGCACTGAACAGAAGTGCCAGGCCCACGAAAGCAGAGCGCAACAGAACTGAGCAAGCGGCCCTCGAGTGCATGCCGGCACTACGGCTGGGACGCCCTCATCGGACGGCAACTGACTGAGGCTGCTTCTGGGTGGACGGATCCCAAGACACTGGCCGGCGGCCGTCCCATCCTTTCCTCTGTGAGGCATTTTCTGTGGTTATGAAAAATAAAGGGAAGCCGCAGAACAGTCCGGAAACAAAGATGTTGTCGTCTGGACAACTGGCCTCCCCCACATAAACCCCACGCATGAGGCAGGGCGATTTTGCAAGAAAAGCCTCAGCTGGAAGCAACCAGACTTTGCACTGAGAAATAAAACAGCCAGATGTTCTGGGGCGAGTAACCCCAATTCTGCGCCTTGAGAGCCGAGATGCAGCACAAGGCAAGAAGCGTGAGGGCTGCTGCTGACATCCGGCCTCAGCTTCAGGCAAGGCATCCACTGCAACATGGCCTGCCCCCTGCGATGGGGAGACACTGATACCGATCCACATTGCAAGGCTGCTCGTGAAGTCTCTTACGTGACACTCGAAACACTCCACATAGCTAACAAGGAGGTGTATTTATTTTAATTTTATTTATTCTATTTATATCCTGCCTATTTTCTTGTCAAGGAACTCAAGGCAGCTTAAATAATTCTCCTCCTCTTCATCTTATCCTCACAACAACAACCCTGTGAGGTAGACCGGCCTGATTAATATATTAATATATATTAAGCTCACTTGCTACACATTTTGCGGATGTACATCCCATTACCTTCCCTTTTTATAGTATAGCCTAAGTTGTATTGAACCTGTAAAACAAAGAATGTTGAATCTATCTATCTATCTTATGTATCTATGAGAGAGGGAGGGGGTCTAAAATGGCACAGCAACTAATGTTTAATATCACAACTACTGATGAGGATGAAAGCCAAAAGATTTTGCTCTGTTGTTAGTCTGTCTTGTGCATGCGGATTGTGAGGCATTTCAGAGAAGGTGCGGTTTCAAATAATTTTCCGATCAAGTCACAAACAGATATGGTGAGCCCATATCAGAACGCTTCCCCAACTCTTGTCCCAGCAAACCTGCACATCCTCTCCAAATACAACTCCAATATTAGAAAACATCCTTTGATCCGTTCAAAAAGAGAGTTCACGGACGCAAATCTGGATGTGTCTTTGAGACTTGGAGAGGGCCCTCAGTCACCGTCGGGTGAGAAAGGACAACCATCAGCAACCTAACTCACACCAATACATGGGAAGTCTTTGATCATGCTATCCCAGCTGACCTAAACCTTAAAAATTAGAAATGTTGTCCATTAATTCCTGCATGGAAACATTCCAGGCTGAGAAACTGCTGCCCTTTTAATTAAACCCACTTCTACAGCATGAAGATGCTCATGGTATCAAAGATCCATAAAAGCAAGCACCCAAGGTGATGTACAAGCAACCCCATAAAGACAGAAAGAGGGCTCAGCAGAATGCGTTTCCTGAAATAGCAGCACTTAATGAACCCAGAAGTGGGGACTCAGCCTCCCCCATCGGGTTGGTGCTCGCTTGCAGAAGTTCATGTTCTGTGACGATCACAAACCCACAAGTGCATCCAGCAGTGGGAACATGTATGGCCAATCAGGCATGTGGGACTGCTGGATGACACTCTGGGCCAACGAGCCCGGCATAAGGTGGCGTTACACAGAGGGTATCTTTGCCATCTGGGATTGTGGAAGGAAAACCTTGCAGAATATTACCATCAGAATCGCTATTATTACTATATTGCATTTCTTCCTCTTACAAGGAATTCCATCTCTGGATTCTCCATCACTGGAGAAGACCATCATGCTTGGGGAAAGTCGAAGGGGGAAGACGAAAGGGAAGACCAAGTAGGAGGTGGGTGGATTCCACCAAGGAAGCCGCAGCTTTGGGTTCTCAAGAGGTGAGCAGAACTGTGAAGGATAGGACAATCTGGAGGGTGTATGGCTGCCATAAGCTGGAGATGACTGAACGGCAATTAGCAATAACAAGCAGGGATGCGATATTCCCCGGAATGCAACAAGTAGCCTTAAACCTGGAAAGAGTCGCCTTCCGCTTGCACCAGAACTAGTCCATGGAAGGTGCAGCACCCCCGATGGACCCGTCCTCCCCCAGTTCTGGGGAAGGGAAATCCCATCAGAAGGCATGTGATGCAAAGGGGATCCTCCAGTCAGAGGATTCTTCCGGACCGCTTAACTGGGCTGGCACCAGGGAGCAGGGCCATTCCCAAACTCAGTCCCCTTCCCTGTATCCCTGCTCCACAACACAGACTGGGCCGAACACCTGTTCCTTTCTCACCTGGTTGACCGAAATGGGGGTATGTACAACAACGCCACCGATGATCTCCGTCTTGTAGGGGCGTTTGGCAACTTCTGTGGACAGGGGTAAACTTCCACCCTTCGGGACCTGGAAGGAAAAAGAGGACCGGTCACGCATGGTGCACTCAGAACCTGGCCGTCTCTTGCTTCCAGGCAACCTCTCCTGCCCCTTTCCAGCTGTACTCATTTTCTCGTACATGTTCCAGGTGCTACTGTGTTTTAAAGAAAATGTTTCAGGATAGAAATGATTGCTGGGAATTTATACGGAATCCAGTGGAGAACGGACTCATGCTCCTGTGTGCGATTCTGGTGCCCACTGGGAATACTGGATTGTGTTTTCCATTAGGCCATTATGATGTCGCCATCTCTTGTTTTAGGTTGGTCCAAGATCTAGCAATTTTGTTAGTTCATAGTGATAGGCTGAAGTAGCTAGGTTTTTATGATCCATGCCCACACAAACCATAAAATATGGCAAAAATATGTTTTGCAGGGGGCAAGAAATAAACATTTTTAAGACCACAAAATTATTTAATGGTGTCTATTTGGTGTGCAGATGGCACAGGTATGTGGATGGTTGGATGGATGGATGCCTATATAGATTAATGGTGTGCATCCTGGGCACACACATGCATATGGTAACATCTTCTGTTACAGGATACAGCAGGAATCTCTGGCCAGCAAGCACATTTGAAATGTTGCGTGTGATGGGTGCCCTCACAAAATGGCTGCCAGGGAGGTTTCCCCTTCTCAAAATGGCTGCCATGGTGGGCAAGGCCTTGCATCCCAGAAGGACCATAGCTGAGGCACAAACAAAAGCAGTTTGCCCAAGGCCAAAGTGGCCCCCTGAAACGCACCCTTCTGAACCCACAGCCTCCTGCTCCAGCGTCCACTTCACTGAAAGCATCTAATGAGCTTCAGAGACAAGTAACTTCAGGAAGAAGCTGAGGACAATGGCTTTAAAATTATTAGTTTTAATTAACTGCAAAGCTTAAAAGAACTAGGTATCAAGAGGGCAAGGGAGCTTGGCAGACACCCAGAGAAGCAGCTGTTGGAGCCCTGGGACAACTCTGGCAACTTCAGGGTTAATGAGTTTGGCACATTAAGAATGTCAGCTCTCCTCTCCTCTCCTCTGCTTTCCTTTTTCTTTGTGGAGAAGAGCAATAACAGAACACCCACATTTTCAGCTTAAACTGTGTGGTGTCGTGGTTAAGAGCACAGGGCTGGGACTCAGGCAATCTGTGTTGCGTGTCTGCTCAGCCACGGAGCCCGCTGGGTGACTGTGACTTCAAGGGCACCCGAATGTTCCCACAACCGGCAACAGCATCACCAGAGCATGCTCTGTGTGGACGACGGCACAGAACGGCCGAGCAGCTCTTCTTCCTAGCACTGCACAAGCATAAAAGCCGGATCTGTTCCAGATTCAGGCTGGGCCTGCAGGTTCTGCACACTCCCTGCCACCGATCGCAGCAACTCTTATCTGCAGGCTGGTGGCATAGCCTGGGTGGATCCCCTTTCCACCCGGAGAAGGCAGCACTCTGTAGGCTGGGCTGCTAAACTGGCTTTTCTCTAGGCTGACACTCGGCTGGCCTAGATCCCTGCTCCTGCATCTGGTCCCACGTGAAATCTCTGTTCTCAAACCACTGGGCACACAGAAGTGCACGCGCACACACACACACGCAAACCACTGGAGGCAGAAGCAGTGAGCGAGCTGGAGTGGCAAGCGCTCTCAACACACGCTGCTCATAACGAGAACTGGCCTGCCAGGCCACACTGAAGTTTCCATTCAACCCAACTCAGGGTTTCCACGAATGCTACTTTGCTGACGTATTCATACGGTAGCCGTTGCCTTATACTGCTTTGACAGGGCATGGCTTGCATCTTCATGTCAAATATAAAAGTGCCAAGCATACATCCTTCCTTGCGCCTGCCCTGCATTCGCTTGGACACCCCAAGTTCTCACATCAGGAGAGAGGGAGGCATCGCACCAATTCCACCCCAGCCTGCCGATAACCAAAGGGGCTCGGTTCCTTGTGATTTAAGAGATGCCCAGGGAATCCCCAGGCCTAACCAAAGGGGCTCAGTTCCTTTGTGATTTAAGAGATGTCCAGGGAATCCCCAGGCCATGCATGCTCAGGAATGGCTTGGCGGGGGCCCAGTGAGGCCCACAGCTCAGGTGGGAAGCCAAGGCCAAGAGGGCCTCCCGTAACCTCCACTCAGCCCTTGGCACCATTTCCAAAATCGGAACCGTGAAGGAGCCTCGCCGGGTTCAGGTGACACGGCAGGCCGCCAGCCTGGGTTGCATTATGGGATGGATGCCCACAAGCCACGGGGGCCCATGTATGTGAGCATGGCTGGCTGTGATCACGGATGCCTGGCCTCTGTGACATTTGCTGGGAAAAACTGTGCCGCAGCTGCAAACAGCTGGAAAGGATGCAGCGGCTTGCTTGCCGGTGTGTCTTTCTCGCTGCACTGCCGCTTCAGCTCTCCTCCATGTTCGAACTTCTCTCCACGAGCTGTTGATGGCAAACGGCCCTGCGAGGGAGGGAGGGAGGGAGGGAGGGAGGCACCTGACCGAGGCCCCCTGGAGCCTCCTCACCTGCCCCTGCGCCTCTCACCTTTTTGCTAACACCATTTAATCTCCATCTGTGGTTAACACAATACTTTTCAGAGGAACATCTGTGATGAATGAAGTGTTTAGCTGCAGCTCAGAAAAACCACAACCCACAGCCTGTAAATCAGCTTTATACTGAAGGACCTGAAATGCCACCTCATGAGTAGCACCCATGTTCCAAAGCGGCAAGTGCTTCTCAAAAGCCAGGCCTGGCCAACTCTAGAGGGAAGTAGCCGGCCCTCACGGCCAGGGAAACAGGAAACGGGCATGTAACACAGCAAGGCTTCCTGTTTCCGAAGGAGCGTGGTCACACGAGTAAAAGGATGGGGAAGTCAGGCATCTGGCAAGTATTCAAACTGTTAACCAATGCTTTGGGCCGACATGCCTGAAAGAGTGCTGAAATCCGTCGTCAGCCAAACTCCAAGGAGTGAGATTGCGCTTCCTGTGCGGGTGAAGCGCACGGGCTGCCCCTTCTCCCTGCAGAAGTAGTTTGCCCTCTGACCCGCGATCTGGGGAGACGGGCCTGGCCAGGCTGGGCCACGGGGATGTGCCTGCCTGCGTCCAAGTGGGACAAATGTGAGCCGTCTGGTGCCACTTGTCCCGGCTGCAGAGGGATGAGCCGGGCCTGAAATGTCTCCAAAAAATGGAAAAGATGCCACTGCAGTGTGTGTGTGTGTGTGTACACCTGTGACCCTCCAGATGTGGGACAGCCACTCCCCGAATCCCTGCACATTGGCCACCCGGGTGGGGGCGAGTGAGAGCTGGATTCAAACAACATCTGGATGGTGGAAGTCCCTCACCCAGGCACAGTGGGCACGTCCAGGGGGAAGGATCCTGGCACAACAGGGCTTTGCAGGCTAAGGTTCCCACTGGAATGGGCCCCCATCAAGATTCCCTGTCAAGTTCTGTAAACCAGGCAAGGCGACGCCACAATCAAAGCCTCGTACCCCTGCCAAGCCACTGCTCTATCAGCCTGCTTTGCTCATCCTTCTCTGGCCTAGAGACTGGCTCTACCTGTGTCGCTGTACCCAATACGTGTGCTTAAGCTGAGCTTAAACCGTCTGTGAACAGGATTCCTTGGAACGGAGCTCGGGGAAAATGTCCGTGGCTCAGGCCATTGCTGCTGCAGTTTGGTAGTCAGTCTCACATACAATCTGAAAATGGTAAGAGGATCACCGGAGTCGGCAGGCAGGGCTTTCTGGTTCCAAGCCACTGGTCTTTGCGCTGCGCAAACTGCCCGCCCTCCACACTCCACCAGTGGGAAGGCATCCTCACCCCACCAGTCCCATCTGGTGTGGCGTGGGAAGGAAATGCCCCCAGCTCAGCTGGCCCCTAAGTGTAAGGCGCTTCTGCATGTGGGGTGATTTCAAATTGCACACCTATTTTTCCCTTTGAAACGAAAGGCCCTGGTTTTGTCCTCCTCGAGCAGGTAATGCGAACAGCCCTAATGCTTGAAAAGCAGCACTTCACGATGAGTAGCACTGTGCTTTTCTTGTATGCGTGTTGCGGACTGGGGGAGATGCATTCATGTTTTACACATATGGGGGACTCTGTGTGGGCCTCCAGGTGTTTTGGCATGCAAGTCTCAGCACCACGGGCCACGCTGATTCAGGCTAATGGGAGAGGCAGCCCAAAATATCTGGAAGGCAACAAGCTGCCCATTCCAGTCATAATCCAGCCGTGGAAGCGACGCTGCGCATACAGAGAGACACAAGGAGATACTGGCAACGTGGAGATGGCCAGGCTGACCCAGGAGGCGCTCAGACTGGCCACCTGACTACTGGGATGCTATCCTACACGGACCAGCCTTTCCCAACCCGATGTCCTCCACATGTCCCGGACTACAGTTCCCACCAACACGTTCGATGGCTGGGGATGATGGGAACTGCACTGCACTGGGTCTGCATCAGAACATGAGATTAGGGAAGGCTGTTCGACGCCGTGTTCTTTATTCAGAGCTGAAAGCACCCAGCAGACAAGAGACAACAGCAAAAGCCCTCAATCTGCAGGGGAGACAAAAGTCTGTTTTGGAACCACTCACAGGTTTTATTTTACACCTAAAACTCTTTCAGGTCAGAGGAGGGGCCTTCTTTTTGTTAAAATGTAAAGAAAATCAGTAGAAGAAGAACAAAAGAGTAGCAGATGGACCATCCTGGTACCAGAACTGTAAACTGCCCTCTTCTAAGTTGTTTCGCTCCACCTACTTCTCTTGTATTCCCTGGTTTTCAGTCAAAACGCCCCATCCCCAAATCTGACTGAAGTGACAAAGTGAAATAGAGGAGAACCAAACCGCCCTTTCACTGCACTGGACCAGCTTCGGCAGGAGTGAGGCCCAGCCCCGCGGACTTGAGCGCCACTCCGTCCCGTGAAGCCACACCAGACACACCTACCGTAATCTTGCTGGCCCGATTCAGAGCCTCCACCCAGTCCTGCAGGTCCTTTTGGTCGTTGGCTTGCAGAACGTAGCGCCGAGACAAGGCGTTGATCACTGTGGACACAGATCGGTGTCAGAGTGCAGAATGCTCATGCAAGCGAAGGTGTCTGGCCAGCCTCCAGGCCTCCAGGAGCATCCCTTCCCTGCTACCTCCTCCCCAGGCAGGGATCCTCCAAGGAGACCTTGCCAAGAGCACCTCCAGCCAAGCTCTAGCCGCTGACTGCACACCTCAGCACCGCCTCGGTGGTGGCAGCCCAGTCCCAGGATCCATTTCCCAGGGAGGCCCACTAGGCCAGGTCTGTCTTCGCTCTCTCCCAGCTCCTGTGCCCACCGGTCCTCACGCTCCATCCCCACAGCTCACACTTACCAAAACAGAAAGGCGTCTTGGGTTTTTGCTTGAGGGTAGCCACACTGACCTGCAAGGGAAGAGTGCGTGGAAATGAGACGCCCGTGATGTGTGTGGCCTGAGCAATTTTGTGGCAGAGGTCAGTCGCCAGCTTGGCAAGAGCTCTTGCGCCATTAAGCTCCTGGGCAGCAGCGATGCAGAAATGGAAGCCTTTCCAAGCACAGAGGAGCAAGAAGGCCTCACCAGTTAAACACCTGCTTAGCAGGTGGCTATCAAAGATCCGGGAACGCTGCCCGGCGGGAGAGAGGGGGAATTCCAGCAGAAGGAGCCACACTGGGCCAAATCCAGGGAAGACCTCGGCATCGCCCGCCCCCCAGGAGCCCGTACCTTGGAGATGTAGGTCAGCTGCAAAGATCCAACCATTTTCGACCCTGCAGCCAGGTTCTGAAATACGTAAAAGTCAATCAAAACATCAGTCAAGAAGCCACCAATAAACAGGCTAAACCCTCCCTTTGTTTATTTAGAGGTAGTGTTACCTAGTGGTCAGCGGGGTCTGGCTCAGTGACTGTGTAACTACTTCTTTTAGAGACTGAAGGACTTTTGCAGAGGCTTTGGTACTAATTATGCCCTTCGTCCTAACAGACACACAGCAGGACTGAAAAGGGTCAAACCATCCATTCGCCCTGAACAAGGAAGGAAAGAGGGGATGCCCATCTCCCCTTTGAAAATATAAATATCAGCCAGCGAGAATGATCATGATGGGAATTTCAACTCACTAGCCCTTGAGACAACCTAAATTCTCCTGGGTACCTTTTTAGGGTGAGAAAAGGAAAAAAGGGACACAAGGTTTGCAAGTGGAAGATGACGGGGCTTGTCTCCCAAGTGTGACCAACCAAGGGAGGTGGCATGCTAAAATCTGGAGGCGCCCTAAATAGCTACACCCTGAATCAAAGCGGTGGGCTAATTTGCTGGTTCGCTTCGCCCCCAAACACCCAGCAACCAGGCTGGCACAAACGAGCTGATCGTGGGTTGCCGGGCAAAGTAAAAGTGGAGAGCCCGGTTCTCGCCCAGCCGTTCCCACACTCCAGGGGCTGCTCCACCCAGCCACGGGCCGACCTGTCGTGTGAACCGGGCACGGCGTACCCTCGGAGGCACATGTCTTTTCAAACAGAGTCCCATCCTGCGCACATCACAGCTTGCCCAGCTGCACCCTGCCTTGGGGATTCCCAGGCAAAAGGATCTACTGTGGTTCCTCTCCTTAGATCTCCGCCGGAAGAAGGCATGCTAGGAAGAAGGCAGGCGATGAATCAGAGCAAAGCTCGCTCAGATTTCCTCTCTGGGCACATGAGACACTGGCCTAGCCCACAGGGGCGAGCACGCCAGTGGCTTGGGTGCCAGTGTCATCCAGACCCTCACGCATTTAGGCCAAGGTTTAAAAAATGGTGAGAAGCATCTGTGTGTAGTTTAGGCCCAGATTTGCCCTGCTGTGAATCTTAAAGCAAGAAACAATTCCTAAATTATGCCTATTTTAGAGTTAGGCTTTCACAGCCAAGTCCCATATAAACACACATCCGGTATTTTATTGATAATTCTCATCCGGGGTTAGCAGAAACAAAGAGTTCTAGTTGGTAGGCTTCCTCTAATAGCATAATTTTTGATTCTTGACTCAGCTGTATGTTTTCTGTAGTCACACAGACGTCTACTTCTGTGGTTGAGGAAAACTGGTCTCAGGTCTTCTAGCCAGCTGTTCCTCAGCGCTAAATTAATGCCTTCGCCACACAGAGGTGCATTTCCCAAGGAAAAGGGTGTTTACGGGCATGAAGGTTGCAGAGATTAAGGCTCTGGCTGGATCTCTCTCCCATGATAGTAACAACTGTCTCACCCTGGAAACTGTGTGCCAGCTCTCAATGCTGGGGGTACAGTTTAGGGTGGGTTTACATCTAAATGAGGCAGGATTTTAATTCTGTGAAAACAATTAGCATAGCCTGTAGTTGTTCTAAGAGAAAATATGTTCGCTAGCTGCTCAAGCACGAGTTAATGGGAAGCTTTCCTTCTGTGGATAGCAGGAAATTGATGGGTGGGAGTCCAGGGGGGGGTCAAGCCCCCCACTCAGCATGCTGTGCTCCCAATTTTGCTTTCCCCCACACTCTGCCTGCAACTAATTATATTTTTTACAAACATGTATGCCAGTTGCGTTCAAGTTCTATTCATGTCTAGTTTTGCTTCAGTCTCAGAAGCAGGACTCAAAACCTAATCTAATTTGGTTAATCAAATTAACTCTGGGTATTGAGCTAAGGAGACGGAAAGCTTTCCCTTGCTTCTGCTCATTCTTTCTGCCATTTGATTTGCATGTGGAGACATTTTGTTGTCTGAAAGGGAGTAACAAGAGGTGTCAACCCAAGTCAGGATGCGCCGAGAAGCAGTCAAACTATTTTGGTGCATGAGTCAAAACAATCCTGCATCTACCTCTCCCCTTCCCGGCAGTAAAAATACAGTAACAGTGAATTAAATCACTAACAGTCCTTTCCTGGCACCCAAAATCTGCCGCCTGAGGTGAAAGCAGAGTGGGTTTGCTCTAAAGCAATGAAGAATTTAAAATGCATCATTTTAAAAGGGATTCTTGGGATGTCAAATTCTATTTTCCATGGCTGTCTTGGGTATTCTAGGGATTGGGTCACTTAAAAAGAAAAAAAAGCATTCCAAGGTACATACTGAGGGCGGTGGTCTGGTGTGGTGGAGGGGGACTCAGGAGATCAGAGTTCTAGTCCCCACTTGGTCATGAAGCTCCTCAGGTGACTTCCAGCCATCAGTGGCTATCAGTCCAACCTACCTCACAGGGTTGTTGTGAGGATAAAATGGAGAGAAGAACCTTGCAAGCAACCTTGGGCCACTTGCAAGAAGAGAGGTGGGATCTAAAGGTAACCATAATAACAAAAATAATAATTCAGGCTCTGAATCCTAACTAGAAGAAGAGGAGGGATTGGACTACTTAGTCAAATTGCCAAGGTGTAAGACAAGCCCAGTGGCTCATTGCCAAACCAAGCAAGTGGCCCAATTGAGTCATGTCCGGCATTTCTGCAGACTGTCCCATAAAGAGCATGCACCTCCCTGAGGGTGGAGCCAACTCTATTTGGGGAGAAGGGAGGAAGAGAATTCGTCTCTTTAAAATGGGCAGAACAAAGTACACAGTTAGAGAGATCATTAACTCGATGGGTGTTTCTTGGTAACAGCCTTCATAGTACTCCTCCTCCATCACAAATCGAGTCTGGGTTGGTCACCCTAACCTAATAAAGGACTGTACTTAGAAGTCCCTCACCTGCTTCTGCCCAGTGGGAAAAGGAGAGAGGCTGAAGGGGTAGAGAGACCAGCTCGTGACAGGTATGACTTTACGTCTGGATAGGACATGAGAGAGGAGGTGGCTACCCATGGCTACTAGCCTTGCTGGCTACGGGCTACCACCCTCAGCAGAGGTGCCATGATTGCATGCCCCAGGTGCTGAAGAGCTGGGCAGGAGGAGCTCTCACACCCACCTGGCTTGAGGGCAGCTGGCGTGCTGGACCGGATGGACCCTGGGTCAGATCCAGCAGGGCTTTTCTATGGCCCGGGCCTGCCCTGGGGAAGGGGCACAGGGCCTGAGCACTCGGGCCCTTCCCAGAGACGGGGCCCTAGGAAGCCGCACCTGGGGGTTGTCCATGTACCAGAGGAGGCTGTTGGCCTGGGTGTCCAGGATGAAGTATCTCCGCAGGAACTTGCCGCAGGCTTCATTGTCCTCGATGTCCAGGAACCCACAGATTCGGTTCTGACGATCCACATAAGGCATTCCGGGACCCTTCTACCATCCCCCTGCAAAGCACAACCACGCACAGGTGAGACCCGGGCCATTAACCTGCACGGCCACCCTGTGCAAAGGCCATTCCTCACACCTCTCCACAGCCCACCTGGGCATTGTACAACCCCGCCCCTCCCCGTGCTGAGCCAGAGAACGAAGGCGATGGTGGAGACGGACATTTGCATCTTGCCTTTTTTCTCCTTGCAAGGAGCAAGTTCTCCACCTCTCCATTTCATCTTCCTACCTACTCTCATAGCCAGAGATTTCTGGCATGCTGGTGTCTGAAAAGGAGGGAAGACCTCCTCTGTCAACAGGAGGTTTCTTCTGCCCAATTGCCTGGGCAGTGCTGTCAAGTGGTTAGAGTGTTAGAGTTGGACTGGAGAACTCTAGCTTCTGGGGCCTAGGTAAGACATTCTCTGCCAGACTATGCTACTTTACAGGGCTGTCGCGAAGACGGAATGGGGTAAGCGCTGTCTCTCTCCATGCACTCTTGCCAGAGGGAATCTGATGTGGCAATGAGAGAGGGAGTGCCTTCTTTGTGTTGGCACCCCAACTTTGGGATAATGGTACAATTCAAACCAATTCAACATTGCTTTACCTGCCCAGACATTTTAAGGCCAGTGTACTGTTTGGTATGAATTTCTTGCTTTTAGCAATCTGTAGGAGTGCTCCTCAACCCTGAGCTGTCTCTAGAAGCTCAGGTGACGGCGGTGGCGAGGAGCGCCTTCCTTCAGCTTCGGCTGATACATCAGCTGCGTCCTTTCCTGGAGAATGACTGCCTGGCGACAGTGACACACGCGCTGGTAACTTCCCGATTAGATTTCCGTAATGCGCTCTACGTGGGGCTACCCTTGAAGATGGTCCGGATACTTCAGTTGGTGCAGAATAGAGCTGCCAGGTTGCTGACAGGGACTGGGCGTTGTTCTCATATAACCCCAGTTCTCCGTCAGCTCCACTGGCTCCCCATTGAAGTCCGGGCCCAATTCAAGGTGCTGGTTATGACCTATAAAGGCCTAAATGGCTTGGGACCTGGATATCTAAAGGAACGCTTGCGCCCATATATGCCCTCCCGCCCCTTGAGATCAGCAACGGATGCCCTTCTCCGGGAACCCTCAGAGACTGATATTAGGAGGGTGAGTACCCGGAGGAGGGCTTTCTCTGCGGTGACGCCCCATCTATGGAATGCGCTCCCCAGAGAGGTCCGCCTGGCGCCGTCGTTATTTGTTTTTCGGCGCCAGGCGAAAACCTTTTTATTTAAAACTTATTTTAATTGTTAAATTATTGAATTAATTAGGATTTTAAAACTTTTAGCCAAGAATGCACCAGGGGTTTTAAAATGTTTTTTTCCATTGTTATATTATTATTATTTATGTATGTTTTTATGTATTCTTTGTGAGCCGCCCCAAGGCTTTGTTGCGATGGGGGCAGCATAGAAATGTTTTAAATAAATAAATACACTATTTAATTGTGATGTGCTTTGATTGTGAATATTCTGTGGGGAAAGGTACCATAAAAATCTTTTTACTGAATAACCAACTCACGTACACAACAACCGTTGCGGTCTTCAAACCCTTCTCCACCCAAGGAATCACCCACCCCTCCTCAAAGAGCGGGCAAGTTTTCCCTGAGAAGTCCCCGGGCAGAGAACCCCTGTGCTAAAAGGGAACTTGGAAAACTTCATTTCTTATGAAGCCACCGCAGAAGTGCCAGGCAAAGGCGAATGAGTCACCATCGCTTTCCCAAACAAAGCAACAGCTGGAATTTCTCTCTCTCTCAGGGCTGGGTTTTGCAAGCTTTCTCCTTGCAGGGGAATCCCAGCCACTCGCCCACCAAGGAAAACTGCACAGCTCCTGCAAGACCAGGGGGCCGTGAAGGATGCTTCCAGATTCGGTTTTTATCAGGCAGTCGTCCTTTGCTCTCCACGCACGCACAACCTGTTCAGAGCAAACGATGCGGGAAACGGGTTGGGACTTTTGACTGGTAGCTTTAACAGCCAGGAAGGAAAAACAGAGCAACATCTGGCCTCTGCCGCCCCGAAAAGACATGCCATTTCGCACGTGCTTACTTATAGGTCAAGAAGCACAAACACAGATAAAGCAGGGATGGCGCCTCTGGGCCCCAGCGTGACCTGGGACACCCTCTGGTGTGCGCCAAGATGCCAAATTGCTCCTCCTTTCTGCTCACTGGGACCTTTTCCTTAGTCCCAGTCACGATTGCTTCCTTCAGCTGATGCCCCTCCGTGTTTCCAGAGTGACTCTGGACTCCAGAGACATTCTTTGGAAATAAACAAGGCAGGCTACTTCTGGCCGAGATCTGCATCTGGCCGCCAAGAAAAAGAGAGGAAAGGCGACTCTGGTGATGGGAGGATGAGCCGGCTGGTGGAGGGATGGGAGACAGACAGACAGACAGACAGACAGACGACAGACAGATGCTCCCATCATACTTTTTTTGGCACTGAAAACTTGGTCCACCTGAGCCGTTCAGCTCATCAGGACTTGGCTCCCACCAAGTACCCCAGTTACTTGGCCTTTGCAATCAGCCACACCTCCAATGGCAACCATTTTGTGGTGGTGCCCGCAAGTTCCCAAAATTGTCAGAGGAGCGCACGGACCCCAAACGGTGGCCCACCCTGAGTGCAAACACAACACTAGTGCAGCCCTCAACAACAGGGCAAGTGTGATCAGGTTGTCCACGTGCCTATTTTAAACCCTTTAACCTGCGGGCTTTAACGTGTTCCTGATGCCCTCTAATTTCTGATTGTGTGGAGCACTTTTCTTGCTACGGTAATTAAATTACAGAAGAAAGTTGCTCTCGGGACTTGGGGTCCCAAGGGGATGACATGAGGGACGGTGGGCGAGGACCCCCTGTTGCCTCCCCAACTGTATCATGGCAGCCCCCCCCCCCCAGGTATTTTTCACCCCATAAAAACTGGGTTGGGTTTATGCCCTTGGTGCAAACTTCTCAGAAGCTAGATTTGGACAGCAGAGGAGTTCTAGATTACAGTTCTCCTTCGACAGGCTACAGACCTGGTATCGTTCGAGAACGCCCTTGTGGGCCAGCCCTGTGGCAGCGCACGCTTCCATTAAAGCGAGAAAAGAAAACTTTAAATCAGCAGCACACCATGGATTCAATGCGGCATGTGATGCAGCCATTAAGCAAAAGTTGCTGCAGGCACTGCCGGTGGCAGATTGCTTCTCACACAGCCATTTAGATATTTATAAAATCCTGGGGGGAGAAGGTCTGCTAAGAGCCCCTGGTTGCAGCTGGGCTTACCACAGGGGCCCCGCGGATGCAAAAATGTTTTGCAGCTGTAAGAAGAAGATGCTTGATTAAACAGAAGAATTAAAAATGGATACTCTTGCTCTCCCCTGCCCCAAGGCAAAACCTGCGAAGTATAAATAAAGAGTTTCTTTTCCTTTTTTAAAGTTAATCAGAGAAGCACGTATGGGAAAGGAAGGATGTGGCCACATAATTGACAGACACCGGTGTGCAAGTGTGCAAGAGCCAGTGTGGCATGCTGGTGAGAGTGCCGAGAGAGCCGCGTGCTAGTCCCTATGAAGCCACCACACTTGCTGGGCGACTTTGGGCCAGTTACTGACTCTCAGTCGAACCCGCCTGGCAGGGTTGGTCCGTGAGGACAAACGGGAGTTCTTTGCGTGGCTCTGGGGTCCTCACGAGCGGAGAAAAGGTGGGACAGAAATGCAGCGTAAAAAAAGTCGAACTGTCTCCCCACTGCACGGACGGGCCCACCGGTCCAGTCTCAGTTTTGTGCATGATCGCACAGGCATGCCAGCCCGGTGGGGTGAAGTCTTTCAGCCCCCCAAGACCTGCTGCTCCAGGGCACCTCCCAAATTACCTTACACAGAGCACCTGGGGAGCTCTGCCAGGTTGCCCCATCTGCTTTCGGGCAAAGGGGTCCCACCGGGGTGGCCTTGCCCGAGAGCCCCAGCATGCCGGAAGCACGGAGGGACGCAGTCCCGTCTCCCCCAGCAAAGGCAGCACAATTTCCCGGCATACGAGGCAGGGGCCCGAACAGCGTGTGGCACTGCAACCGCGGCACCGCAACGGCCTCCCGCTCCTTCCCGTCATCTGCCAGGTGCCGCGCTGGTCCAGCATCGGGGAGCCTCAATCCGGCGCTCTGCAGTGCGCCGGCTGGAGAAAGGGAGGGGAGCGCCGGGAGGACTCCAAGGGGAGCATCGCGGGAGCCAGTGCACAAAGCACCAATACTCAGCGCCACACTGTCTTTACGAAATGACACCGACAGAGCGATAGATGCGTTGGCAGGAGGCAGGAAGAGCCCGTTAATCACGCTCAGACTTGCTGCGCAATTCGGGCCACCTGGCCCCGTATCTTGCGCTCTCCCTGTGCTGCAGAAAGTAAAAGAGCTGGGGAGACTTACCCCTCTGTTTGCTCGTTGAACCGGGAAAGGAGAGTGTGAGGGAAATCCGGGTGCTGCCCCCACGCCCTGCCGAGCCCTTCCCTCGCCGGCGTCTTGCGCCTAAGTGCGGAAAGGTCTGGGCATCCCACAAACATCACCGGAGGCAAGAGGAAACCTCAGGAGGGAGGGCACGAGGGCAACGCGAGCTGCGTTAGCCAGCAAGGTCAGCCGGCCGTAACTCTGCGAGCAAAGTTCCGGGTGCTCGAGCTGAAACGCTGCACGTTCTGCAAGGCACATGAAGGTTTGGGTGCAACTGTTATCTCTGCTTATAGGAGATCTTGGTACCTGATCTGAGGCAACGACGCCTTTTCCTGTGCAGAGGCAACTTGGTTAAGTGTGGGCAATACTCTTCACAAACTCCTTTAAGCAAAGACCAGAAAAAAAGAACAGAGAGAAAAAGAGAAGTGGCGACATCACACGCCTCACCAGTGCGTGGCCTACACAACCCCGACCTGCATGCGGAGAAAGATAACGCAGCAGAGGTCTCCTGGGGCTGTCGCTAGGCTTGGCACCAGCGCCCAGCCTGCCTGGGCAAATGCCAAGGTCCGCAGGTACAAGGAAGGTCTGCAGGCCCAGCGCTGATCCAGGTTGCTGCAGCCCCTTTCTCCTCCTGCTTTTTGTTTGAGGAGGTCCTGGGAAGCAACATGCTTGCAGATTGCAGAGAAACATCGCAGGGCCCACGGGCCTTCCAGGGAAATGATGGCGGCCGCTGCAGATGCTTTGCAGTGTGCCTGCCATATACAAATGCTTTAAAGGGAGTGGGGAGAGAGCCCTCTGCCCAGTGCTGCCTGCTCTGGGTACCAAGGAAGAGGGGGCACAGCCTGGCTTCCTTAACCTGGCGTTAGCCCTCACTGTCCGGCTTCAGAACCACAGCCTGCACGATCACTGAGCAGTCCATTCCTCCCGAAAGGCTTACGGAAAGCAAATTCAAGCAAATACGTAGGGGCTTTGTCCATTCTTCGGACACACCCAAGGCCCCTGCTGACCTGTGGCAAAGGATGCTTCTAGGCTAGACTGACAGGATCAGGAAAAGAACAAGAAAGGAGATTGGCCAAGCCGAACCGAGGAATGGAGAGAAATTCATGTTGGTTCCTTCGGGACCACAAGCTACCCGGGTCACTCCTCCCAGAATAAAATGGTGACTCAGAACGGAATCTTAAGTCTGTACATGCCTGCCAGCCTTGCAATGCAATTTGCATGAAAATAAAAGTCTGAAAAAGAGCTACATTTAAAAATGTAAATGTAGCTCTTTGCATGGGGATACAGATTTTTAAAATGCGTACCTTTAAAACTACACATTTGAAAGTATACACAAATATGCTGTAGTCAGTGGGAGAAAACAAGTAAATGTCTACACAGTCTAGGGATACATTTGAGAAAATACTTATTAAAAAATGCAAGCCATTTTTGGCCTCCCCCTCCACTATCTCAAGCCTTGAGTTGGAAGGAGTTTTGACTTGAGTTGTCTATGTGTTTGGTTGCCCAAACAGGACGCAACTCCCTTTTGCAGGGTCTCCGACAGCACCGACAGAAAACTAATAATCAGCAGCAAAGCTGACATGAACTAAACAAAGAAAGCAAATATCCAAAACATTCTGTTCCGGTTACAGAATTCACATTACCTGCACTGCTGAATTTGGATCCAAGCACAGGTGTTCCTGCCCCAGAAAGTGCACAGAAATATATTCTCCGAGTGAAGGCCAGGGACCAGCCACGCACAAACTTGGCACAGGAGAATAAATTTTCCCTAAAGACTGTACTAAACCAGGAACTGATAAAGAAGCTGGCAAAGCTGCATCCCAAAGGGCAGCCAGGAGAAAGCCACCAAGCTCCTTAGCATGTCAAAGGCACTGGCAGGAAGGACAGGGAAGAGCAGAGCCTTGGGCCTGCAAGAATTCCTGAATGCTTTTCTGTCTGCAGTTAAATTACTGAGCTCATAGCGAAAGAGGCTACGGAGCTCGAGCTCGACATTTTGTAAAAGGAACCACGTTGTGCAAACTGGTTGCAGTAACTGATTTGTCATGCTCAGTGTGGGACCCGTTTTTGTGCTTTGCATACTGCTTTTAAACTGCAGGGAAAGAAAAAGAGATGGGAAATAAAAGTATCGAGAAATGCCTCCGAGGAGAGAAGGTGGTGGTTGAAATCACCGCGATCTACTCTGCTCGTGGTGAGCGGTGGACAGGATGCAAGCGCAAGGTCGGGCGTGATGGTCTCCCACACCACAAAAACCCTTTTAATTGTCACAACAATCATCTTTCAACAAGGAGCCGAGGCTAGTAAAGCCAGCCGACCCATCAACCCTTGGCTGAAGAGACCACCTTGATCCGTAGGACCTGCCAGCAAGACCGCATCCACGACCATCTGGTGCTTCTGGTAATTCCCAGTGGCTGGAATTAGTCAGTGAGGCCTGGAGTAGCATCAGCTCTCGGCCTTCTTCTTTGGTACTTCTTCTCTGAGCTGGCAGCCTTCCACCGTTCTGAACTTTAGGTCCTATTCTGTACCAGGCAGGCAGCACGGCCAGCGGCACGGGATGCAGGGAGCCGTCGTCCAAAACATGTGGAGGAGACCCGGTTGATGGAGCCTGGCCTGTGAAGACACACCTGAGCCGCACGACATGGGGCCATCTCTCAGACACTGTTCTTGCACCTGCCCCAGTAGGATAACCGTGGGGCTCCCCACAAGACACTGATGCGGGCTCACGTCAGGATCACGCTCAACAAATACAGTGCCCCTCATGAGCACCAGCACACTTGGGTGCGTGATGGCGTTGTAAGGCTTATAACAGCCCTAGAAGGTAGGCACAACAGGTGGCTTACAAATGTTGTCAATAAAAAATATTCTGCTGTTCTGAGCAGAAAGTGTGCCCTGCCCAGGCCACTCCGGGTGGGGACAATATGGAAACGGATGTCCTGATTCATGACAGCCCAGCCGTCTGGGTCACTGGGCTACACCAACATCAGTTATACTGCCCCAGTTTTCTACAGCAGCCCTGCAAAGTGGGATTATTGTGGAAACTACAAGAAGCGCTCAATCTGGGTGTGCCAGGTCAGGGGGAAAACCAAAGGGGTAAGTTTAGGCTGGTCTCAGCAGAGGACTGCTGCAACCAGACCAGGGCCTGGCCCCCAAAGCACCCACAGGTAGCTGGCTTTCACTATCCCTTTCACTTCCCACAATGCTCCTGGGCTGCCACTGTTTGGGGGCATTGTGGGATATGAAATGACTAGCCAGACCCAGCCACAAGATCTGTGGGTTTTCTTGAAGATTCCAAACCAGAAAATTGACTGAAGTAGCAGCATAATTTGCTACCCGTGCGTTTCAGTTTACCTCAGAAAATTTTCTGTTGCTCTTAAGTGTGGCCTAATCTGGCGTGTTTATTTTTCTGGCATGTAGCAAACCACAAGCTTTAACAGAAGGTTATTTGGTTAAACTTTGTATTTATTTTAAATAAAGTGTGTCTGTATTTCTTTAAAATAAAATATTTTTTTGAAATGAAAAAGATACATTCAACTCAACCCACCCCATGTATTGGACATGAAATATTGGAAAGAGGATGCTAAAATAATTTCACGTGATTCAAATGTTATACCCTGCAGAAATCCTTATTGGAATATTTGTTTGTTTGTTTTTTAAAGCTTTAAAATGATAGATCGTCCTCCCAATACTGTTTAAAGGGCAAAAAGTACTGCAACAAAATGACACCCCAATAAATATTAGCAGCGCAAAGAACTGTGAAAGCTACATCTACCGTTACGCATCGCCAAGCCGAGACTGTCACTTGCCTAACATGAGACCAACAGTTGGCACCCATCCATCGTTAATAACTAACTTAGGAAATGGAAATTTTTCCCATGGAGAAATAAAGCAGTGGAAAAAGCCGAGCAAATGTTCTTTCCCGTATCACGCCAGCTGCCCCCAGCTTCGTGAAGCAGTACCAACGGATACTTCGCGCAGGACCCACTGGCAGACACGGGAGGGATCCCCTCAGAGAATCCTCTGCCCGGGCCGTGAGATAAAGCCAGGGGAGCTGGAAAAGGGAGTCATTTGCAGGAAAATAGCATGTGTGACCGGCCGATTGTGACTATTTTGGTGCGGAGAGATGTACTGTGTGGCACGAGCCTTCGTGACCGACAAGCGGTCTCCTCTGGTCCCCAAAGCTAGTGCCACAACAGTTCTGTTTGGAGGAGACACTGGCAAAATGCTCGGGGTGATCAGCCAGCAAAGGGAGGTGTGGGGACGCCTGAGCTGCGCCCCGTCTCCATTAATAACTCTGCAATGCCACATTTGAGGTTCTGCCAACAAATGAACAGGGGCATCTAGGGATATTTGAGGGTTAAACAAGTTAACCCCAGAATAAGCCATGGGTTAATTTTGGCTTGTTTTATTTATGTATTTAGTTATCAGATTTATAACCCACTTTTTTTCTTTTTAAAGAACTCAAAGCGGTTGACGTGATTCTCCTGCTGCTGCTCTCAGTCTTATCCCCACAACAACCCTGTGAGGTAGACTGGGCTAGGGTCTGAGACTGGCCCAAAGTTGGTCCCAGGCTGAGCAGGGACTAGAACTCAGATCACCTGAGCCCCATTCCCCACACTTAACCACGACACCACGCTGCCTCTCCGTGTTTGACATACAAATAACCCCAAGTTAACCCTCAGTTTGTTCTTAGGTTAAACTGGGCTTGATTAACCCACAACAAGCCCAAATGCCCTGTTTGGACATCATGCACGCAGCATTCAAGGGTTGTTGGCAGAGACAGGATGCGGCTTGGGAAACAAACGTATCCCTGAGTATCTGGCGCATATTGTCCCAAAGATGAACCCAATCCGGCCACTACAGATTTGGCATTAAGGGACTGACTGCAAGCCTTAAGGCTTCTCCCAGGAACATAACTGGCAACAGACAGTTTGATACAGGGTTGGAGGTGCTGCTTAATTTGGATTGCATTTCTTCAGTTCATTGCTTCATCCTTTTACCTTGTAAACTGCCTAGAGGAGGTTTCAAAAGCCAGTATTAAAATGTTCCAAGCAAAGGAAGGAAGGTCCTGGGAACAAAGATGCCACTGTGCCCACGCCCTGGGTCTGGCTGGTCACACGCACGGTGGACCAGGTGGCCTTTGATCTGACCACGCACGGCTCTTCTCATGTCCAGATTAGCGGCTGGCCAGGGATACATTCGTGAGCATGGATGTCTGCACACACGCACACGCACAAGAGCTTCTGAGCCCGGCCGGCCTGGTGAACCCTTTCTCAGAAGCTTGTCCTCCAGGAAGGCTGCCAAAGCCCTTCGTTCGTTCACAGTCCACACAGCTTGTTCTCTTGGGAGTTCATAAAGCACCCTCCCCTTTCATTAAATGCAGGCAAAGAGCAGAAGTGACCCAGGAAACGCAGCTTCCTGAGGACCTCTGACATCAAAGCCAAGGGCTGGAGAAGCGAAGCCAACTCGCCTCCCCTGCTTTTCATGCCCAGACAGGTCAGAAGCCAAAAGGGTGAAGCCTGCACACCTGTACATAAGCACGGCTAATGCATTTGATGTCAGTGCCGCATACTCGTAACAAGTGTGACCTAGGCAGCAATTCAACAGGGGAAGCTCTTTTCCCAGCTGGGAGATGAAATCCTAAAGTGAACTCTACCTGGAAGACAGGGAAAGTGGGGCCCTGACGGAATAATAAAAGCAGATTCCTCATCGCGAGCGAAGAGAGGCCAAAAGAAAGCACCCTCTCATTCGCCACAGGAACTGCTCTAACATCAGATGTAGCAGAACTGTTAAGCCTGAAACAGATCAAAATTGGTCATATTAGAGGTCCTAAGAGACACGTGAGTCTGTTCTCTTAGCCTCAACTCCCCGTCTGCAAAACAGGAATCGTCACCCCTCTAAAAATTGCTCTGTGGGGGGGTCCCCGCATTGCATTCATCTCCCAGAAGCAATAGGAAGGGCAGGAGAAATTCCCAGCTGTGGACCTGGAAAGGGCCTGACAGGGCCAACTGCACAAGTGAGAGAACAAGGCTAGGAGACAGCCCCCTGGTCCTTAATGGTCTACTTCGCAGGACTGTTGTACAGAGGACTAAGATTATATTGATGAAGTGTTTAGAAGGCCTGAAGTGTATCAAGATAAAAATTACTATTATTCATTTCACTTTTCTACTGGCCTGTAACTGAAGCACTCTGGGCAGTTTGCCACAAGGCATCTCTTCTTGAGCAAATGTGTGTTTTCTCCGTTTTCTACTTGAAGCACATGCAAGGAACATCATGGAAATGGTGCCTCCGTCCTCGGGGAAGACGGAGCCACGCAGTTTGCCCTCTTCCACAGGACTGAGGCAAAAAGGCTGCAGACCTACACGGCCCAGTTGGGTGCTCCTTCCTGTACAACCGATAGCTTGCATTCTCACACCTACTCTCACACTGCATGGAGGATTTTGAAATTGACCCTAGCAAACCTGATCTGTGACCTTGTTCTTACGAAAGGATGCAAACTGTCTTTCACTCCTCGGTGGCCAACCTGCATGCAAAGCAACCCTAAAAGACGAAATCAAGAAATCCACTCTTCAGTCAATAATACACTTCCACTCCATGGTTGCATGGAGACTGGAACCACATCCTCCGAGCGCCCAAATATTTCATGATGGGAGAGAGGATCTTTCCCAAGAAAGATCTTTGGTACGGAGCCGGCTGGAGTCGGAGGTCAGACTAGATGGCCCGGGAGACCCCTTCTGACTCGTGCTGTTTCTGTGTTACCTGGGGCAGAAAATCCAAACAGCATTCCCTGGTACCTCCCTCCAGGGACACAATCTGCTGGGACCTTCTCCAGCAGCACCTCATGAGATCAAAGAGAAGTTAAACTTGCAGTAACTCCAAAAGCGATGCGACTACATCCCTTTAAGACTACATCCCTTTAAAACGAACAATGTCAAATCCCTGCCAACAGACCTTCTTAAGCCATTGTCTACAGTTGAAAAATAATGCAGAGCATTAAGTGGAAGTCTCCAGCAGCCAGCAAAGCAGCCAAGGGGCAAGAAAGTTCATGAGATACAGCAAGGAATCCTAATCTTAAGAAAGAATTCATGGCACCATGTCCCCATTTGATCCCTGTGCGGAAGCCCTTCAACATTTGAGCAAATTCCAAAGAATGTTTGGGCACGCACACAAAATGACACACATTATGTATACTGTAAGCTGTAGTTTACATGGTGGCAATTATTTCCCTAGTGATCCTGTTACTGTATTCTGCATGTTCTTTTTGGCTGCATTTACACTTTTTTTTTAAAAAAAAGTTTATTTCAAAATAAAACTTCATGAGATTAAAGTTGTGTCCCACAGGTCTAATCAGTTTCTGCCACTTCTGTCATTCAAATTGCCGCAAAAAAAATATTCTGGTAGTTTGTTGTGGGCCATGTCACATCAGCAAAGCATCTTTTGAGTATGGCCGCAACGCTTGAGCAAGGGATGCAGGCTGGGGAGGGACAGACAGACATCTCCCCATCTCCTGCCCCCTGCGGTGCTCTTCTGAGCATCACAAAGACCTGCAACTTTTTCTCAGCTGCCCCAACCATGGCCTCCCCCCCCCCCATCTTCAGCACAGCAGCAGGCAAATTTGCAGGGGGGGGTGTCCCTGGGTGTTGTCATTGCCTCTGGCAAGAGCATGAGTCAGAGAGAACCTGATGGCAACCGGGGGGGGGGGGGCACCGTCTCCGGCCCGTCAACCTGCGTGCCTACACTCAACCTGCGTGCCTACACGTGGCTAAGCAAAGGGGTAGATCCCATCAAACGCTGGACTATCCTATCGGAGAGAGCAGAGACGCCAGGGGTTGGGAGCACAGGAACCCTGGAGCAGCCTTGGACCGGGCACCTTTGTCTGCCCAGTCTAGGTGGAGGAAAAAAGTACCGTGCCTAACCCAGGGAGGGCAGAATCCAAACACACCGCTGGAAATTTTCAAGGAAGCACCATTCTGTTTTGGTATTCTCGAAGCACAAAACCACAATGACTCTTTCAGATTCAAGGCAGTTTCGTATTCAAAGCAGATGAGAACCGTCACAGGAAAATAGATCAGATTCGGCAGTGCAACGCGACTTGTGCCGAGTTTTAGGTAGAACCAGAGCACGGTCTAATGAGGAAGAGGCAAACTGCGTTTAAAGAACTTACTTGAGAAACACAAAATGAAGCCCTTCACTCGGTCACGCTTGCATATTTGGGGGAGGGGGTTTGCCAATGCAAAGGACATTTGCTGGGAGCCTCATCAGGATTAGGACCAGGAGGGGAGAGTAGAAAGGCCTCGACCACTGGTTCCTAGCACCTGTAATTTGCTTTTCTAAAGCACAGGAAAAAGTAATTAAAGGGAATGATCCTTCTTTGTAATGCAAGCAGTAGGGCAGGGACAAAGGGTCTGCTTAACTTCCCTGTCCCTATGCTACAGTACCAATCCGAATTAGACCCTAGCATCTGCAATTTCCTGTTTTTTCGGCTGGCTGGAGAGCAAGAGAAACGCCTCCCCCCACAGCAAGTGCCGGAGGAGGGGAATGCACTGCCAGGACCATCTGTGACCCCTGGATCAGAAGTGCCCAGGGCTACCCCCTGTCGTGCCTAGGCGCACCACTCCCACGGTGCAGCATTTAGAGAACTGCACGAAAAGCCCTTACAACGGCCCTGAAAGGTAGGCCAGTGTTCATGGAGCCAGTGCAGCAGAAGAGGCTGGAGCGAGGCACTCTTGAGGGAAGGGCTGGGCAGAACCGCAGGTCGGGGCACCTTCTCTCCTCAGCTGTGCCTCCTCCCCGTCACGCTGCACCAGACCCAACCCAGCAGTGGGCCGTGGCGGGTGCGACCTGGGCAACCTCACGCCGACGAGCCAAGAGCGCCGCGGCGCTGCCTGGGCCTTCAGAGAAACCTGCCAAAGAGCGGGCATGCCGCGCAGGAGATGCAGCGTCCACCCCGCACGGGCACTGGGAGAACCGGCCCCGCAGGCGAGGGCCCCAAGCCTCCGCCTGGACGTCCGGCAGCCTCCGAGGTCTCGGCCTCCCCCCGCAGGGCCAAAGGAACAAAACCCAAACCAGGCCCACGTCTCCCCAGCTTGACAAGTAAGCTGGGGGGTGAGGCCTCCCCACGGCCTGGAGGTGATCCGGGTCAGGCCGCCGAGACGGGACTGCAGCCGGGACCCACGGGGGGGGGGCGTCCAGGAGGGCGTCTCAGGATGCACACGCAGAAGAACCTGCGCGCTTGCTGCCTCGACTTGCCCCTTGCGGGTGGGAGCCCTGGACCTGGACCTTGCACGTGCCCCGCCACATGCCCCACCGCAGCCGGGCAGGGACCCGCGCTGCCTTGCCGGGAACGGGGCGCTGCCGAGGGTCCTGCCCCCGGCAGAGCCGCTCTTGCCACGACTGCACGGGGCGGCCCACATGCCCGCCCTGGAGCCCCGCTCAGTGCAACTTCAGGCGGCAGCTCCCTCGGGCTGTGGGCTTACCCTTGAGTCGGTGTGCCAGGCTTAGCTCCTCCTTGGTAAGAAACCGCACCGAAGGGAGGAGGGGAGCAGATCCCAACGAAACAGCTAAAAAATCCCACCGCCTTGTGCAGATTTCCTTCGAAGTTCAGAGAAGTTTACTCCCGAGGAAAGGCGCCCCAGACCGAAGCGCAACGCGTTTCATTTTGCAATTCTTTTCTAAAGCAAAGACCGCGCTAACACTGCCGTCCTCTGCTCCAAAGGCTGGAAGATGCAGAGACCCTGCCACGGCCCGATTCCAAAGGCAGGCCCTCAGCACATGCTCAGAGGCCCTCTTGGCTCCGCGCGGAGCGGAGCGCCCGGCATCGCGGCTCGGCTCCCGGCCCCCAAGTCCGTGCGCCGAGCCCTCCCTCCCA